CCCTTTTATAGGGGAGGAGGAGTGAGGGGGAAGTCACCACTTCCCCACTCACTTCCCCACTTCCCACCATTAAAGGTGGGAAGTGGAAAAACCTCCCCAGTTTCACCATTGGGAGGTTTTCTCTCATTTTCTTTCTTTTTTTTCCTTTTTTTTCTTTTATTTTAATTAAAACAAATTTAATTAAAATAATAATTAATTTAATCTAATTTAATTAATTACAAAAAAATATTATTATTTTAATTTAATTAATCATATTTAATTAAATTAATCAATTATATTAGAATCAAATTCTAATATTTATCTCTCTCATAATTTTGAATCCAATTCAAAATTAACTTTATATTATAATGTAACAACATACATTATATTAATTGCATCTCATACAATTAACCTTAATTCTCTTTAACTAATTTGAACAATTCAAATCCTTTTCAAGACTATTTGTTCTAACTATCCTTTACGAGTTAGCAAGGGGACCTAATTGACCTACAGATCGAAAGCTTCAACGATACGAGATTAATTGATTAAACTCATTAACCATATTAATCAATATTCGTTAACTATCGGTCACTCCACAAAAGACCCACAATTGCACTCTTCTCACTGTTGAATATTTTGCGTCCATGGATTTTGACCATTAACGGTAAGTTAATCCTTCACAAGTGTTTGTAACCACAGTTGCGTCAAATTTACCGTTTTACCCCTGTGTTACATCTTATGCCTTAAGTACCACTGATCCTCTAATGAACAACCCGGTTATGGTCCAACCAATAACCGGAAGTCCCTCTCAGGCCAGTGAGAGGGTGGGGCCCCTTGTTCAAGTCCCAGAGTCAGTACTCAAGAGAACACTCATCTACTTACCCTGAAGTCGGGAAGAAGTGAATTCCATCTTGTGTAGTTATGTTCCCAGCTCCCCACTCGGTCTCGTCCCCAAAATGGTAGGCATATTAAGTCGGCGACTCGAGCCACTCTCACCCATACAAATCAAATGAAGAGCCCTAATAGGCAGGGGTTCATAACTCACTCAAGATTGAGATCGAGTTACCTGGTCATCTATTGAAATATTAATATATTAGCTAACGGTGTTACAGCTGAAGATTAATTATTTCACGGTCCGGTCTTATACAAACTCCTTGTATAGGATACGCCCACTCGCATGTCTCTACATGAATGACCTGGATCAAGTCATTTGTAACTATTACAAAGTGGGCCATATCCATAGTGTTACCAGGATAAGGTACCCAACCTTATCCATATACTATAGACCCTTTAGGTTACTACTAGAACATTATCCACCTGTATATCGAATATATACTGTATATATACAGTGTATATCAAATATATACGTTGTATATTAAATATATAATGTATATCTGTTATACACTGTTCCAGTTACATCTCATAACCTCGGATGTTAGTTTATTGGATTTGGGTTAATGAAATTCATTCAATACCAACTTTATTGAATGAATATTTGTTTTATGTTTACAAACCACAAGTTTAGGGCATAAAACCCAACATGAGCGACCTTGAGCTGCTCTTCCTGGAAGCGAGTCACATACTCCCTTAGAGTTTCGCCCTCCTTCTATCAAATGATGGCGAGGTGCGTGGCCGTTTTCCTATCATAGTGTCGAGAATATAATTGACTTATAAACTCTTTCATCAGCTGGCTGTAGGTCGAGATCGACCCTGCTTGCAGCCTTCTATACTAGAGCCGAACACTCCATGTCAAAGCGATCTGGAATGCTCAGCACTTGATGGCGTCAGATGCGACCTGAAAATCCACGAGGCCTTCGAAGACCTCGACGTAGTCCTTCGGGTCCTTAGACCCATCATAGGGCTTCATGGTTGGCGTTTTAAACTTAGGAAGAATAGGTGCCTCCAAAATGTCCGACATGAATGGCGATTGGCCCATCTCATCATCATCAAACGTGTTTTCCCTTTACTCACACTTAGCCTTGAGTGCTTTGACCTGTTCA